TATTCTTGTATATATATAATATGGAGCTAGCACAGCTGCGAAGTTTTGAGAAACTCAGTTTCCGTTTGAATAGGGCCGATGATATTCAAAGATCGGCATGGGGAGGGAAACTGTCGGCCGCTAACCCAATAACCCGTCCCTCCTTGTGTGTACACTCCATCGAAGTATTTGGGCTCTCGTTGGGGGTTTGTGAGTTTTACTTGGACGTGGTTGTCGCTGCGGTGGACAATGATAAACTTTCATCTTGATTGTCACAAGTTGACGTCGATATATCGGTGTAATACGTGGTTGACCCTTGGGCGTTGTGTGTGCGTTACATTTTGGTATAGGTAAGCACAGCTGGATGTNACAAAGACGGACAGCCATGGCACAGTTCGTTCGCGTGACGCGTCGCCGTTGTCTCGCGTTTAACACACACACACACGCATTACACACAATAATCATCATCTCAAGGCCGTACAGTCTCTCTCTCTCTGGCACTAAATATGTATATATATTTGTGATATTCTATGTATACACAATCATCGCGCGGAGTACACCTACACACGCGTATATGTACATTCTTTCGTCATCGGCCGTTTCCGCCGTTGCTCGGGCATCACCACGCATCACACTCCAGATAGAGAGAGAGAGAGAGCATCTAAATTTGCAAAAGCAAGAGAGAGAGAGAGAGGAGCGAGATAATATAACACACGAACGCGCGCCCCGCCAAACTCGGCCTTCGCCGGCGCGCATCGGCAAAGCTCCCTCCCTCCAGCTCGCGTGCTCCCAGGAAAGTCAAGTTCAAGGCCACCAGCCAGATAGCCGAGAGCGCTCTGTATATATACGCACTCCACCTCCCCTTCCTGCGCTCTTTTAATCACCACGTCTCATGCGTAGTGTACACACACACATGGGGTGCTTGCGGCTGTAAGCTCCGTTGTGCAAAGGAGGGGGGGGGGGAGGAGGAGGAAAGGAAGAAACGGGACGCGGTGGTGGAGGGATGGTGTGCTTAGCTTTTTTTTTGGCAGCTCCCTCTCTCTCTTGCGTGACACCGTTAGCCGTGGCTTATCGCGCGGGTCGAGGTTCGGTTGTTGTTGTTGCCGGCACGCCAGGAATTTCGGACGCGCCACCACCCTTTTCTTTCACTTTGGCGCGGAGAGACCTTGCTGGAGCGTTTTTTTTCTCTTTTTTTTTTTTTTTTTTTTTTTACCGAGCTCTGAACATTCTATTAATTTAAGGTAAATTTTAATCGAGCAGCATTATAGTGTATATCATTTTCAACATCAACTCCTATTTGTTCCTTAATTTGCAAGGCAATAAAAATTTCCCTTTTCTCTTTAAATGTACTTTAGAATCCAATCGATATTAAATATGAATTTGTTCCGAGAAAGAGGATATTTCAAGAAAACCTGTCTCGAATATAATAAGACAATGGAATAATAAAAATACCTCCTTTGCATCATAATTTTATTACTTTTATTAAATGCCCCTTTATAATGCAGGGGACTCGCTACCCTAAATTGACCTGTACGGAAAATACACTCCGAGAAGATCATAAAATTTTCAACTGCTCAGCTAATAAATTTTTCCCGGCGCTGCAGCTGTCCAGTTTGAACTATTGTAACATAAAATCTTTAATTACACGTGTAGGCCGTTTGCAAAAATAAATACTGTATTTTAAAAGTATTCGTGATTCCGTAAGTACAAAAAATAAGGAAATTTTAATTAAAAATTTCAAAAGATAAACGAACATCAGCCACGTATGTGAGGGCTACAAATCACATAAACTGCGATATGAAAACACCGAACCAGTGCAGCACTGAGCGTCACGTACGGATCGTTAAAACCGACGTCTCTATTTTTTTTCTCTCCTCCCTTTCACGGAATTCATGTCAGTTCGCCTCGCTATTTCTACCACGGAATTTTTCATTTTTCACAAAAAGTTGCACTGTATACGAGACAATGCTCGAATTGTACTTTTTCTCTCCCGCAAAAAACATTTGTCTTTTTATTTGTGTATTTTTTTCCTCCAAGCTAAATAATATTGTTAATTATAAAGCAAAATCTCTAGCCCAATAAATGGTGTTTTTAAAGCATATTTTATTTTTCTCTTTGTCATAAAAATTGTATGCACATTTACTACACGACAATTTAAAATAAAACAAAATATGCCACTTTCAAGTTTCATCAACTTATCGTCATTACACGCAACGATTCAGCAAAGATGGCTAAAACAAAAATCCTGATAAGCGTCAGCTTCGAAAACGAGCCCTTCCCTTCGGCTTATTTCAATTAACGTCCCGAAAGCACTTCCCTATAATATATAGGCGAGCCTCTGCAAATTCGCTATGTCACTGGCTCTGTACTATATATTCTGAGAATCCAAACTATTACAATGGAGGACAAGTAGCGCCAGAGGAAGTGGTGTCGTCATGGTGTGTTTGTGTGTCATAGCTATCCGAAAAATTGATAGGTTATCGATGTTGTTCAAAGCCTTTAGAGTTGAGAATGTTGCCATGGCAACGGAACAATGAACTTTAACGCGTGTGCACGAGTGTTCCAAAATGTTAATTTTCAATCTGCTGTGTGTGCGCAGCTCAAATAATTTGCACGAAAAAATTTTATTAGCTGAGGCAGGGAGATGATAAAAAAATGATTGATGCGTTTTTTTTTTTTTTTTTTTTTTCCCTGAGAAAGAAAAAAAGTTAAATTAGCAGAATTTTTTAATGCTTGTATCAAAATTTGTGTCCCTACACTTTTTTGTGTGAAAAAAAGGCCTTATAAAAGTATTTAGCTTCGTATTGCAACGATATGAGCTTGAAACACGGTTTTTGACCGATTGCCAAAAGCGGAGAGAAAACCGAGCAAGAACAAGCACACTTGAGAAAAAAAAAAGAAAAAAAAAAGCTCTAGAGAACTTGAGAGCTGGACGCTAAAATTGAAGGGAACAAAAGCGAGGAAACCCATAAGGTACAGAACAAAGAAACCAGATTATTATTACAGCTCGGGGTGGATGAATAAAAAGCACCGGACTGTGCTTGGCTCTTCAAGAAAATCCCTCTGTGCTCCAGTGTAAACCATCTCATTGATCGAGAGATGGGATTAAAAGACGCCAAAGTCAATCGGCTTGTCCATCTTTGCAAACACAGCGCTATTTTATTTTCTTGGTACGCTGAAAGAAATCCACAACTCTTTATAGTGTAAAAAAAAAAAAAAAGAATCCTACTAACCATTGTTCTGTGTACAACGGAGTAAGTAAATTCTCGGATTTCGTTAGAACTCGATTATTCAAGAGGCTAGTTTTTTGATGAATAAAAAAAAAAAAAAGGGAAAGAGCTGAGAACCGGCGCTTATCAAATATCGGCAAAGTCGATGATAAACAGACCAAGGGCGCATGTTATAGTGCATGGGAATTTGTACTCAACGCATTTCAGGAGAAGAATGTGGGAAAAAAAAAAAAAAAAAAAAAGGAGAGAGAGAAAACTCAGCCGGGAGCCACGCGAAAAGCACAAAAGGAGCATCCGCGGTGAGATAGGGTGAAACAAGTCCAAGATTTGTGGATGAAAACAATGGCAGTGGTAAAAAAAAAAAAAAATACTTAAATAAAAAAAGGAAAAAAAGGAGGCTCGCGTTAAAGCTCATCGCAAATGGGTACACAGAGAGAATTGCATTTGTAAGATGAGACGGGAAAAACTGTTATATACAGGATATAGGGGATGGGGCGCTCGCAAAGGACTTTTTTCTGCGAATCTCCGACGCTTATACAATTTCTGTGTGCCTAGATGAATGTGTCGTGTCTTGTGTGTTCACGGAAGACTGGAAGAGGTGTACTTGTCTGTATGTATTTGAGGGCAAATGTATGTTGACCTGTACGCATTCAGGTATATATATATACCGAACGTCGGGGGAGATTATAATATTTGCTACTCGACAATGTTCCTCAGGGCCGAAGGAATAATAAGGGAGTAAAAATTTAACTGCACCCCTATAAATTCGAATCCATAAATGCCCCAAAATTGGTTAATATCCCAAGTGTGCTCCGCGTGTCTGTTTCGGTCATACTTTTTTTTTTCTCCCACGCCCGCCCTCCTCTATTATATTACTAGTGTTTATTGTATACCGTGTAACATTGTTTTTTTCTTTTCTTTTGTACTTTCGAAATATTTTACATACAGGTACAAACGCGTGTCAAGATAATATATATTACATCACGTTACATCTGTGATATATTATGCCATCCGCATTATCAGTATATTATACAGTACATCGTTAACGCGATAAGCGACAATAGGTATGTGATGCAAGCGATTCGTGAGCTCATCTTGATGAAAAGCGACGAAACTTTGTTGAAAAAGAAAAAAAAAAAAAACTACCGAATACTGTAACAGTACTTTTTGTTTATCAAAGCAAATTGATTCAGTTTATCTGTTTGTTATCAGATTGAACGTGGTCACCTGAATTCGTGGTGATTTTTTAAAATAATTTAATCATCGAAAATTGATTCGTCTGTGTGTACAGGAATTGACGAGAAAAAAAATGCCCAAGAGTACTGAAATCGAGCGTCATTTTTCCTCTGGTTTACAGTCGTATTTTTTTCTTTTTTTACAAAGAAAAAAAAAATAGTATTGCATATCATAAATTCAATATCGATCCTTATCTATCGATGACACCACCCAATAACGAGGTCATGCTATCGAAAATGAAACATATCAAAGAATCCATTAATTATCTCTCACTTTTAACACAAAGAATTTTAATCGAAGAAATCATCATCGTGCTATTAAAAAGAATAATGATAATAATAATAAAAATAATAATAATAATAATAATAATAATAATAATGTTTTTCTACCATTTGAGCTAATCGGCGTGATTTTCTCGTTCCCGGAGAAGCCGACAAATTTAGTGCCATTTATGTACCATTTTTCGATCTTCCAATGTCCTCGATGCGCACAATAATTAGGGAAAAATAGAAAAACAAAGACTCTTAACAAAACCTTGGTTTTTTTCCTTTGCAGGACGAGGTGCTGTCGATAACCGAGAAGGTGGTGGTGCGCGTGCACGATCTGGTGACATGTCTGCCACCGTCGTTGGAATGGTCGTGCGGTCGGGAGGTCTCTTACCCGCCGACCCCGATATCCTCGCGGGACAGCAGTCCCCAGCCGCAGACCCTCTCCGACCCGGGACTCGACTTCTCGGACGTCGAGCGCCACCAGAAGGACCTCGAGACTGCCGCCCTCACGCGCCACCGCGGAAATACCGACAGCAACAACGTCACTCACAACCACAGCAACAACAACAACAGCAGTAACCCAAACAACAACAACAACAACAACAGCTCGACAAAAAATAACAACAACAACAACAACAACAACAACAGCAACGAGAATTGCGCGGCGCCGGGGCAGACGAAGGTGGTGGTGCTCTCGTACCCGAGGTACTGTCGCTACAGGGCCCTGCTGAGGAGGCTGGATGGCGCGGAGCCCAACTGGCTGTGCTCGTCCATAGCGGCGGCCTTGGGTGGCTTCACCGCACATCCCGGCACGCGGGTGCTCTTCTGCCGGGACACCTTTGACTATCCCGATCTGGAGACTCACGAGTTGCTATGCAACCATTTGGGTTGGTCCTTTGATTTAATTAATATGTACATAACATGAACACAAGTGTAAATAACTCTCTATCTCTCTGATGATGGATACTTGATGGTGTATATTTTATATATTGTACCTATTTTTAAAGTGTCAATTTTAAGAAACGGTCAAATAACAATTGAACGAGGAAAAAAAAGCGTTTGATTTACAATATGTTATATACAACAATAGAGCAAGTATATATAAGTATTGTATATAATATATATGGTACGTTAAAAACAAAGATTCCCGAAATACACGTGTAAAGATTTGAAATTTCAAGAGAAAAGTTTATTAGTATACTTATGGATACGTTACCGTAGTTTGCCGTTATTCCATTTTCCGACCTTTTCCGAGAATTTTCCGTCTCTCGTCGCCGTGAAACATAACAACAATAACAATATAACGTACACCTATATACGCACACATTTATACCATTATGTACAAAATTAATTTTTTATGTATGGCCTCGTCCGAAAGTACTTAAATTATTGTTGTTTAGTCCGGTTTGTTGATAATGAACACCTATATGTATACTTATTTTTTAAACAAATACCCACCGGTTGGAATTCATAATAATAATTGATCTATGTAGGGCTGGAACTTTCCCTAAAATCGTTGTGAATCGTTTTCTTATCTGAGGAAATTGAATTGTGCGTGTTATGCTTACTTCCTCACCCATGCAGCTTTTGTGCGGGTACAGTCCTGCAAGAGCATCATTCAAAGTATAGGTATTAGGATGACTCAGGTAACGCACGAGAGAGATTTGCCATCAAAGTGCATGTCATGTCATATACCTACCTGCAGTACAGACTACAGATGCTTGTGCAGTATCATAATCGAAGGAGGAAGAAAGAAAGAAAGAGAGATATAGCGCATGCACATCAGAGTACAGTAGACACATGACCTACTAGTCGGGTAGGAGAGGGGAGCCGGGGCTGTAAACACGTGCTCACAGGTCTCAGCTGCTGATGGCGCCGAGCGCTGCGTATTTTCTTTTCGGACGCGCGAGCGACAGGTGATGCCGTTGCTATTTACAGCGCAATAGTGCGCATATCATTGTTTTTCTCATTAGTGTTAATCTTTTTTTTTTTTTTTTTTTTTTTTTTTCTACGAGTAAAATATTGTGTTGTCGATCGATTGATATTACTCGAGAGTTGTTATCGCGAGGATGGCGATTTTCATGAAGATCCGCAGGAATCGGGTCATCAAACTCGAAATTGACGGCTGCGAGTGCAGGGAGACTAGAGAAGCCGGTAATACCAAAGGTTAGAAAGATATTTATGTTTTGATATTAGTATCGAGTTTATATACCTAGTGTCGTGTGTGTAAATACCTAGGTATTATTTGATGGTTGACTTGGAGGATGTGAAAAGTGGCGGTGACTCGAAGTTACACGTGTTAGCGTTTTGGCTGTGGTGTTTTTTTTCTACTTTCCCGTTTTTGATGCACCTTGAGTCGGTTCATAGCAGTGGTCATTCATTTGATATCTGTCAAGTGCAACTTGTCTGGAACAAATAACAAATAAAATCTTCAAGTATTTACCTGCAAACAATTTTTATCTACGTAAGGTTTATCTAGGTTGAATAATCACATAAACTCGTGTCATTTAAACAAGCATTATTTGCGACTTGGTTGATCTGTGTTGTAAAAAAACAGTTTTTTTAAATCATTAGATCACATTAAATTAGTTTCTAAAAAATACCTACGCATAAACCTACCGTTTGATGGTTCCTTTTCCAAAAAGCGTGTGTTACCTGATGGGCACGTGGTCAGTAATTCTCCGTCTCCTCGCGTTTTTAAGTGCAGTATACCGAGAATTTATCCTATTTTGCGAGGGTAAAAATTTCGTTCATTTCCAAAGAGTTTAACGAGTCCATACCCGTCCTTTTCTCTCCTTTATAGCCGCTACATTACACACGCCCTCGTGCAGGACCTCGTTGGAAAAAAAAGGTAAACAAACACGATGAAGGGAACTGTTAGTTCGCTTTCTCTTCTTTAAGGACGAAAAAAAACAAACTTGGACGCGTTACATACTACAGTATAGTATATAGACCCGATTTACTTAAGTGTGTATTTGTTTGGGTCACATACCTTTGCTCGTGAATTTCCTTGCTGATATTTATCGCGCGTCTATTAATAATTGATCTATTTACAATCATTACAAATTGAGCAGTACTTAGGTACTTTTATTTCTTGATTCCAAACAAGATTTTCTATTGCCATTTGTTGTTGCCTTTCTCGAGTTCTCGCTAAATTATTTCAACGTCAACGTACTTATAAAGTACAGGTTGACACAAAATTTGTATCATATACTATAAAATACGATATCTTCACGTGTTTAAATATACACGTTCACTTTGTTATTTTACAAATCTAACATGTGGAATAAACAACTGCACACTTATTCGTCGAACTGCTGACGTATCCCAACTTTTTATAGGTTAATTCACTAACGGCTATCGATGCTGTCTGAACGAATCAGACCCATAATTAGAAGCTGAATGAACTTTCTCTAAAACAAATGAACCCTACAATTGCAAATTTAGATAATATTGTATAGGAAACAAAAATTATTGCTGCACCTGCGAACAACGTTTTTCGCGGTATTTCCACACGTACACTGAATTCATTTGTTTATTCCAGCTTTCAAAAGAGCGTAACGCTTACGTGGAAAGTATTCGTTGATAAACAAAATAAACGAACCGCGACTCAACCAAAACAATGTAATAAAACACGCAATAAAAAGGGGGGGGCGGGGGATAGGAGGAAAATTTGAAGATAATAAAAGGTGATTGCCCTCTCAAACTAACCTATTCACATATAGGTACGTGTGTAATGTTTGTCTAGACGTAAACAAACACGACGTGGGTCATTTCCATCCATCATTGTTTTGAAGATTTCTTTTTAACAACACTTCCATGCGGTTATGTATTATTAATTTAGAAGAACGACACAATAATGACCCCTTTGCCTTTATTTCAAGAAGAAGAAATTTAGTAATTCCATCAGAGAGCTTTTTACACAAATTTTTTTTTTTTTTAAGTAAAAAAATAGATTCTCTTTTACTTTGATAACAATATTTACAAGGTAAATAAAATTTTACAGCGCCAAAGCTGAAAGGTCGACCGCGGCGCAAGCGCAAAAAACGGAGCGTCTCACCGGCCGGCGAGTCGAGCAACGAGAGCGAAGCCTCGGTCGCGTCGACTGCGAATCTCACCTCGGCTCCATCGACACCCGCAAAATCGACGACCTCCTCCACAGGTGAACTCAGCGCGTGTAAAGGAACGGCCGATCGCAAGACCAGCGCCGAGGAGAAGAAGTTTGTCGGCGACGTGCACAACTTCATGACCTCGCGCAACACGCCCCTGGGGAAAATCCCGCTTCTAGGATACAGACAGAGTACGTAGTGTTGGCATGGCTTCTTTCTTACTTTTTTAATTTACGTGTGCCACGTGTGCTTTGATTTAACAGCCAAAGAAAGCGCTGTTTCGAAATCGCTATGAAATTTGTCATGAAACAATACCACGTCGAATCTAAATGTAAATACCTACTTTTACATTTTTTCAGTTGATCTGTTTTTGTTCTACACAAAAGTTCAAGATTTGGGCGGCTATGATAAAGTCAGCGCGAACCGTCTTTGGAAGACAATTTACGATGAGCTTGGTGGTGCTGTGGGCTCGACGAGTGCAGCGACGATAACGAGAAGGCATTACGAGAAGTAAGTCAGGGTGTACCAATATTACTGTAGAGTAGAAACGATTTGATTAAAAAAAAAAACTTGCCCTATGTTGATGGGATGTATTTTTTTGCATAGGCTATTACTGCCGTACGAGAGATGTCAAAAGGGTGAGGAGTTCAAAGTCCTGAAGCAAGTTGGCAGGCCTCGTACAAAGACATCGAGCGTCTCAGAGGCGTCCGAAGAAGAGGTCAAACGAGAGATCGAGAGTCCTCAGCCTTCGGAGACACCACCCCCAGCCGACGGCAATTCGACGACTGCCCTCACCTCTCCTCCTTTACAGTCAATTCTTTCGTCTTCGGTAAGTTCATTTTTCTCTGCCAACGTACTTTGGGTGGCTTACGGTACTGACTTTTTTCATCATTCACACACATTCAACATACTTGTGACAATTGTTTGTTTCCTCATCATTACATTGTTCATCGACATAAGTAATTACAACAGTAGTAGGTTGAATTAAAATCGTACAGATGTGATGAGCACAGATAAATTTACTCAATGCAATTACGGAAGTAGACTATAGTCACGCATATAAAGACACTTGACCAACAAAAAAAAAAGGAATATAAAAAAAAGTCCAATGTATAATATTTCTCGCGTCAGTCGTACCTGGCAAGCAGCGGTGACTCGAAAGCAATTCCGACGCGGCCCGAAAGCGCCTCGTCTTCCTCTTCTAGCAAAACGTCGTCTCTACGAAGCGTAAGAGTCAAACCCGAGCGCTTGAAGTCTTTAAACACGATGATAGCTACGTGCAATAGTCAAGTCTCGCCCGTAAGCAGCAGCTCGCCCACGACAACGTCGATGATGACGACGACCACAATAATGATGACGTCGACGACGACGACGACGACGACGATGACGAGCAATTCAACGTCGTCCTCCTCGTCGTCTCTAGTCTCTTCACCAGCTGGTACACCACCAGCATCTGCTGTCAATGCTGCCTCGAATCAGCAGCATAGCGTGCTCGAAAAGCAGCTCAACAGTCCCCTGATTAGCCAACAGGTACCGGCTCTAAAGTCCTAGACGCTGTGGCTGCTGCTGTGCTTCCCTTTTACTCCTATACACGTACTATTCTACTTTACCCCGAAAGAGAAAAAAAAGTTTATTTACTGTTTTCTGTTTATGTTTACCTCTTTGATCTTAGTTCTCAATGAATGGTCTTCCTCTTGAGTTACCCAATATTTGTACGATTTTATTTTGCTACTTTTTGCACCGCTGTGGAATGAATGTTGTAGTATTACTGCTAGCATCAGTTGAGAATGCGCTTTCAATAATTGTTGTAACGTGATTTCTCTCATTATTTTTCAAACACTCCTCTTATTCAGGCATGTACGTTACGCTATACGTTAATTCATGCTAACTCTTTCGATATGTATATTGTAAAATAGTTTAGAACACAATCTGCGTATGTTTTCACTTGACATATTTTATGATCCATGCATCTGCTATCGAGAAATTCACCCCGAATTCGCTATTAACGCAACAAACATGATTCTCCAGGTACCACCTCCGTGTTCGCCAACCGGCCTGCCAGTGAGTACAGTGACAACGAACGCCACAACGGTCGTTACGTTAACACCGCCACCAGAAAAGGACATGAAAGAGATCAAGCTCGACTCGAAACAGACGAGCCTCTTGGCCCAGGGCAAAGAGAACATACCTCTGTTTGAGGAGAAGGGTGCGATTTTCGTCCAGGACAAACCCCGCTCGCCTGAAGTTATTGACCTTGAGACTGAGAATGAGTCGGGTAGCAGAGACAAGCTTATCATTCCTAGCTTCAAGAAGCGCAAGCTCGAGATACTGCGTGAAGGCGGCTTGGAAGTCACAGCTGTCGAACTGGGTATGCAATTTGATTTGTTTCTATCTTATTCCGTGCGGGATGTATTTTAAAGTTTGGAATAAAGATTATTGTATTGATCATTATTTCGTAGATTCTCGACCAAGCGTAATCCAACCGACGTCGACACCAAACCACACAATACCGATGACTACCCCGACGACGACGACACCCCCAGCGTCGGTCACGACGGGCCCGTCGCCGTGTTCAACGCCAGTCTCTGTTTTCTCTCCCGCGAAACAAGAAGAGAAGCCATCGTTCGCCTCACCCCCGAAGATCATTCCCAAGCTCATAAACGTCACGGTAACACCCGACATCGGTCACATGATGCCGCGAACGGAGGATCTGTCGTCGCATCGTCAAAATCCGCACTTCCCAGTGCACGCCAAACAACAGACACCACACGCAAACGGAAGCCCACCGATCAGCCTGCAGACGCCGTCTAGTCACAACAACAGCCGAGTCATGAACGTCGGTAGTGCGAGCCACAGCCCGTTGTTACAGTACTACGGGAGTACCAGTGTGTCGTTACCACCCTCGTCACCGCATGCTGGTCTGTCGCCGTCTCCTCTAAACTATCAGTTCGTTCCGCCATCGTTGCCCATGATGCCATTACCAAACGGCAGAGCGCATCCGCCGATGGTAACGCAGGGAAAGTCGATTTTCGCGAAAACCGGTGAGAGTAGAGTCTACGGGGATCCAAGGGATTATATCACGGTGCCGAAGTACGTGCCCTCTTCCATACCTCAGCCACATGTATCCAGGAATCACATGTTAGTTTATATATTTGAAACGATCACATTGTATTATAATTAATCCTTTGAATGCTAACTCTGTTGAATTTTTCGCAGTGGTGTGCCGGCTCTGAGTGTTCCGCGCTGCAACAGTACTGATAACCAGGCTGTCGGAGCACTTGACCTCTCGAGACAGCCCAACAGTTCCTCGCGTACGAACCTCGAGATCGTCAAAGTACCCGTTGTACCTCGACCTACGCCTTTGAATCTCGAAACGCACAACCGTACCGGTGGATTCATTAGTGCGACTGAATTGGTGATGTCCAAACCTCCAGAATCGCGCAAGAATATTAATAGTAATAATTTGTACATACCCGGACCACCTTTGATGCCGAGTAGTAACGCAGCTGCTCCTGGTGGTTATCTCAATGTCTTGGATAATCGTACAATGACAAGCAATAACCTTGAGATTACGTTAGTCAGTCCAAAGAAGGGAGTTAACATGGTCGGGCTACCAGAGCTCAGTCCACCGATCGTTCGAAGCAACAATGTGGTACGTTGAGTCTATTTCCAAGTCATGTTACTATCCCTGATGACACTTGTAAAAAATTTAAGTAAACGTAATTTAACTTTAGATACAACCACCGCCACCATCGATACCAATGCAGAGGAGGCATCCCCTGCCTCCTCAGTTGTCGCCACAGCCTCAGCCGTCACCCCAGCAGCAACACCATCTGAATGGCAAGTATCCGTTAAGGATGCCAGCTGAGCCCATATCTCCGTACACTCCTCGCAAACCGAGTACATTGAGCAGCAGTGGCAGCAGTATGCACCATCCAGTGATACCGAACGTGCCAAATCTCAGCCACCTGAGCTCAAGCTACGGCAAGCCAACTCAGGTGGCGGGTGGTACAAGCTACCAGCAACAGTACGCGATGGAGCAGAAGAGAAAAGCCGAGGCTGCTGCGATCGCGGCTTCGAACAGTCGAGAACAGCAGCAGCGTAGGATAAACGTGAACGACAAGATTTCGATGCAGCAGCAACTCAGATTAGACGCTTCGATTGCATCGAAGCAGCAACAACAGCAGCATCAGCAACAACAATCGAGGTTAGTTGAGTTGTTTTACTTGGACGTAATGAATTTCATGATTTTTGCTTACCAATGTGTCTAACGTGATTTTTTATTGATAAAGGGATGCCGAAGCGAGGAGGCACAGTATGCCAAATATACCGACCAGTTACATTCCGGCGATGCCACCAACGTCGAATCCAGCCTTCCTCGCGCACCAGCTCGTCGCGTCCAGCAACGGTACCTCAGCGGGTGGCAAGTACTTGCCGATACTGGACCCGTCGATGTATTACCCGGCCTTTTACAACGGGCTCTTCCCAGGAGGCCCGATACCAGCCAGCGCAGCTGCAGCCCCGACGCCTTTTCTACCGCCCGAGCTTGCCAACGCCTACTACAAGGAACTGTTTTCCGGGCCAGCCACGGCCCAGCAGACGCGACTCGCTGCCCTGGTAGCACAGCAGTCACTAGCACCCCAGCAACAGCAGCATCATCAGCACGCGGGGTCCAAGTAGAATAATACGCGATAGTGATGTGAAAGAGCTTTCCTCTTGAACGATCTCAGTGCGCGCGCCGAACACAAATGATGCTCGTGAACTCTGGGTTTTTTTTTTAAAATTTTTTTATTTATTTCTTTTTTTTTATATACAAGTCTCTCCCGTCCCCCTTCGCGTTGTTGCAGAGTCGAGTTTTCAGTTGTTCGACGCGCTTGTCCTTTTTTTTTTTTACTTTGATTTAACAAGAAAGGAGGATTATGCAACGTTTCGTATACAGACTAAAAAAATTGTGAGCGTACGAGTGCGTATCCTTATTTCAATTTTCTATGCCGCGGTAGTTGTCGCGAGCGTGCGATTGTTTACTATTTTAAGTATTTTTCTTTTCCTTCTCTTTGTTTGGAAATACCAGAAATTGGTATGGTTACGAGTTAAGTCGAGGCTGGGGCTGTGTTGTTCACTACATATTGATTGATGTATAATTTTTTTTTTTGTTTTTTTGTTTTTTACAAATAAAATATCTGTCGTTTGTAAAATTATTACTTCTATTATCGTTTTGACTGCTCGTTTCGTTGCATCTTAAATAAGATAATGTATACTCTAATTAAGATGTTTTTATGGTCACTTTGGTCAATTTGCACGTTAATCTCCGTCCGCAAACGATGATTAGAATCGTTAAAGCTATCTGTCAATAGTATCTAGTAATTTTTTATACTTTTAAGCTCAAAAGAGAAGTCAATAAGCAAAATTGAGTTGTGCGAAACGAGCAGTCATGAACCATTTTTTTATTTAGATTATAAAATTTGAAGAAAAAGTTACTATGCAATAATTAGTAAGTTGTATGTGTTTATCACTTCGAGTCAGTGAAATTATGGTATGCNACTCCCCCTCGGCCGAGCAACAACACGCGGGGTGGCAGGGTTTTTTCAATACCAAAAGTGTCCGTAAGAAAACAAAAATTGATGGTGTGACGTTTGAAGCATAACAAAAGGCACTGAAAAGGAATACGACTTCAATGTGCAACTTACACATATTTGGGCTAATCGTACTCCGATAAGGCGCATTTTTTTCCTTCCGATTACAGTGTACATGTAATAACAATGCGCGATGTGATAATTGTAAAATGTATTTATAAAAAAAACGAGTATCTCTGAAGCGTCAAGTGAGCGAATCGTTGAAAAAAAAAGAAAGGCGTACGAAACAAGTTCGCACAAAGGAACTAAACGTTTTGCTTGCGTATTAGATTAACGACTTAAATAAATTAAATTTTCACAGCCAACGACGATTATCACACTCGAATCCCCATGCACACAATGGTCGTAGGTTATAGATATAAATGAAAGGAGTTAAGCGTTTTTTTTCCGAGTCGTTGGATTAAGCAAGGAATAGATAAAACGCAACTTAACGAACAGACTCTGGATCTGTACATAGTGTACATATTGAATTTTAAATATAAGCTCGCTCATAAGTTGAGCCGATTGAATTTCAGTCGATAAAAGAAGAAAATGATTAAAAACATCCCAGGATTGTCTTTAAAAATTAAATAATACTAGTAGCGAGACGTTAAGATTTTAGATATTGTGTGTACAGGCCGTCCCGAATCTCGTGATTCACGAGTCTCACGTTTCGTGGCGAATATTTCATTTCACCTGCTAATGTTGCGATAAATTTGACTTGATGACCAATTAGTTGTTTTCTACGTTGCGTTGGTTGTTTATTTTATTATTAATAAAGTTTATCCTCAGTTGATGGCATAACCATATTATCATAAATTACTTGATAATTTTTTCTAGGAATCATTTTTTGCAAAATTATTTGTTTTGAGCTGAGATTTTAATGATTTTTTTATGATTAAAAAAAAAAGTTCTTGTAATTGATAAAAAATACCATAGGTTTGGGTGTGATTTTGTGAAAGGTTGATCATATGAAATTCAACAAGAAATTGCATACTTGGATATTATTTTCATTTTAAAAAATATAAAAATTTTTATGAAAAACTACCATAATCGCAACAAGTGCATGTTGGAAATATTTGTCAAACTCAGAAGCATTTTCTGTTTTATTATTTTCATACCTAACGATGAATGCGTTAGTATGTATGAAGAAAAAACCAAGACATCATCGCGATTACAAAAGATAAAATGAAAATTTGGATACTTAGTATCGCGAGCACGCGCAACTTTCTTTTTAAAATTGAATAGTAAATACTATCTTTAACACTCGGGCTTTGCTTTTCAGGTTTGTCTTCGGCAAATTGTTGTAAAAGTTTGTAAAAAAATTAAACAGAAGTTGCGGGAAACTAACGTTTGCGTTTTTTTTCCATTGTAATTATTATTATTATTATTATTGAGTCTTCATTGTTACATTAGAGATGATAAAAAGAATATACGCATAGGATGTCGATCGACAATTTAAAAAAAAGTGCGATTTGTAGACAACTTATTTATTGTATAAAACAAAAATTTTGTAATAAATAAATGTATAAAAGTATAAAACAATCAGATGGCGTTGATATTTTTATTATTTATTAAAGATTCAGCCACATAATTTCATCCTTTTTTACTTTTTAACGTCCAAGCGAATCTACAGGTTCGACTGAAATGTGTCACATGCCTAAAGTCAAACTTTGTTTATTTTACTGGACACGTTTGATATTACATATACAACAAAAAAAAAAAGACTATTGCCATCAAGATCGTAATAACATTTGTAAGTCTTTCAAGTGAGATTCTAAATATACGTATATTTATTCATTTATAACGTAATTAAAACTGAAGACAAAAAAATCATCGAATAGAAGATGTCTTTGAGATGGGAAAATTCGAATACAACATAACAAGCATTTGTATTAACTTTGGATTTATATTCGTGTTGCAAAAAAATAATAAATAAGCTGTGTCATTGTGAATAGAAAATATACTTGTTTTTGAGATGGTGTGCTGGTAACGTGAAAAAAAAGTACGCGGCGAAGCTTCTTTTTCACATATAGAAAAACGATCCATATATACAGTATAATTGCAATGTAAGTATATCAACGAAATATTAGAAAATTCAAACTTCTCGGTGTCTTTTACGAATTTTGAACGTAGGGAATTGTAAAAAAAATTGTATTGCTTGCATTGCAAGCTCGATGTTTCTTTTTGATTTCCAAACCCTCTTTTACATAAAATTAATAATTTAAAGTTAACGTATTGCAAGTAATACTTACTATCTTAGAAAGTAAGAGTAGTAAAAAAAAAAAAAAAAAAAAAAAATTTGCAAAGCAAACGAGCTACTATTAAACACTCGAGTGGAATGTTTGCATCCGAAAGAGGCTTCGCCGTAGGCGTATTACGGTTCTCGTGGTTTGTTGGGTATAAATATGCGTGTGGATTTAAAGAGAAATTAATTACAAATAAATTATTGTAGATGCAATGTATACGAGCGAAAAGCTTTGGGTGAAAAGAAGATCGAGGGAAAGGAAAAAAATTGTACGGATCGGCCTGATAATTGTGTATCCTGCCCGATTCCTGCGGCCAATTTTGTTTTTTCTCTCTACGACGACGACAATGATGGAGTTTGTGTGGCCCGTCATTCAATAATAATGATAATAATCAACACAAAAACACTATTATTAATAAAAAAAAAA